TGTGTTCTGGGTCTGTATCCTGTTCCCTTGTTTCTACCACTTTATCTTGCTTCTTTGTGTGGACTGTGATGGTCTGTTGTCTCTGAGACATCATGGTATTTTATTTAGATCTCTGTTAACTGTTTGTGAAGAGCAGCCAAGGTGATTCAGGCTCTTCTTGGTGGTTTTTTATTGTTGGCCCATTAGTGGAGAAGGAGGTGGTGGCTCTTCCTCAGTAAGTGACATTGCAGGAGATATGGGTGTAGTTGTATCTTATGGGGAGTGTGGCTCTCTCCTTCTCAGTTAGACAAAAATTACAACTGAATAATCATCAAAAAACTAAATGCACATGGAAAAAAGATACACCATGTAATCACACAGGAACAGTAACCAAAAAAGGGGGGGGGGGGAAGGGGGAGATCAATTCTTTTTCAAATCTAGCACTCATTTATTTCTTCTAATTAAAAATGACATCAATTTTCTTTCCACTTGTTCCAAAATATACTGTAGGAAAAAACCTACCGTCTCTGCTCCAAGAGTCTGCAAGCCAGTGTAAGTTCTATCCAGCTATTGAGAGACAAAAGGAAGAGTAATAAGTTCCACTGCGTTTACTTGTAAATCTTAGGATACATTCCTATCTAAAACTCCTTTCACCACAAGGCTCCATACCATAGGACCTACTTTCATCATAATTTAAGCTATCAATTTATTACTTCAATAAAAAACTTCTTAATTTTCTAGGGGGAAAAATAAAATTAAATAAATAAAAACCATCTCAGATATTAAGTAGCTGGAATCAACTGGATGGTAGTGGGTTTTTATTATAATTTTAAAAGGATCCCTAGTGACGCAGTGGTTAAAGTGTTTAGCTGCTAACCAAAAGGTCAATTGTTCAAACTCACCAGCTGCTCCGTGGAAGAAAGATGTGGCAATCCGCTTCTGTAGAGATTACAATCCTGGAAACCCTACAGGGCAGTTATACTGTCTTACAGGGTCACTATGAGTCAGAATCAACTCATTGGCAATGAGTTGGGTTGAGTTATTACAGTCTTAATGTAAGTGATTTTGTTGTTAGGTGCCAAAAAGTCAAAATCTATTCTAAGGGCAATCTAAAAATGGAAGATGTTTGACAGAAAAAGATATTTACTACAGCATTACCTATAATAATCACAAGCCAAAAGCAATATAGTAACAGAGGAATGACTATGTAAACCATAGACCATCATTTTGTGAAATATTATGTAGCCACTTAGATGACTAGAGTGTAGTAAATTATGTGATATGGCTTTTCTAGCCCTAGTATTTGTAACTCCCACTTTACTGTGAGTAACTGAGTAGCTGCTTGTTAAACTCATCCACCTGGAGCAGCACAAAGCAATCTTCTGGGAAGTTTGTTCTCTCTTAGGTGTATAGCATTCTGATGTTGGGATTTATTAGTTTGGCTACTCTGCCAGGCTCAAAGGAGCCCTCCTAGAGGCAGAGGGAGTCTCTCTGACTGCCAGCTGAGAAAGACATGCTGCTGAGAGAAACGCACTGCTGAGAGACATGAGAAAGACATGCTGCTGAAAGACGCAACAGACATGAACTGCTGAGAAATGTGCCACTGAGAGAGACTGAGCGCATCCCTGAACTTGAATTGTAACCTGTTGTTTCTCTAATAAACCCCATAATCTGTGAGTTGTGTGGCCACTGCAGCTAATTATTGAACCCAGCAGAGAAGCGGTGGGAACCACAGGAAGAATGATTTGTTGTCAAGGTTAGTAAGAGGGCTGAAGGGTGGCGGCACATCTGGCCTCATAGGAGCAGGCACTGGGCTGCTGATGGTGGTTCTGTACTCCTCTTGTATAGTGTTAAATGGAGCCTCCTTGCCCCTTTGGCAATGATGTTTACAAAGACTATGTAAAAATATTAAAAAGACTGTAGTATTACACATGCAGAGTAAAAACATATTTATATACTTAGGATATATTTACTAAACACTTTCGAAAAAATAAATGAAACTTTAGGCAATATAAACCACTGCCATCAAGCTGATTCCGACTCATAGGGACCCTATAGGACTAAGTAAAACTGCTCCATAGGGTTTCCAAGGCTGCAAATCTTTACAAAAGCAGATTGCCATCTCTCTCTCCAATGGAGTGGCTGCTCTGGTGGCATAGTGCCTAAGGCATCTGACTGCTAACCAGAAGGCTGGCGGTTCAAACCCACCAGCCGCTCCTCCAAGGGAAGACTGGGCAATCAACTTCCATAGAGATACCATCTTGGAAATCCAAGGAGGGGTCACTATGAGTCAGAAATGATTCAAAAGCAGTGAGTTTGGGTTTTTTGGTATGGAGTGGCTGGTGGGTTTGAACGACTGACTTTCTGATCAGCAATGAAGTGCTTTAACCATTGCACCACCAGGGCTCCTTAGGCAATATAGGCAATGCTAATTACTTTAAATATACTAGCATCATGGATGATATTTTAGAGGTGAGAAAGGAGTATAAACTGAGGGACTAAATTAATAATATAAACAAGCATGATTATACATAAAGATGCTAAGTTCTTATTCCTTTGTTTTAAATTTTTATTTTATCATTCTTAAAAAAGAATACTGTACAATAAGATTCAAATAAATTAAAATAGCTGAGCAGAAAATAAAGTTAAGGATAAAGGAAAAAAACCCAGCCAGGTAGATTTCAAGTCTGAGTTCCTCAGCAGCCAACAAAGAGAAGACAACACATCAAGTAATGAGATTTAGTGCTCAAAAGATAACAAGCAATAACACGTGGATTAATAGTAGCTCCATGGAAAGAATCTAGAGTTTTAATGCTTAAATCTTAGCCAACAGTATGACTGCTGAAAAAGGCAAGGGCATGCAACTACTGCTCTCCACTCATCCACAGCAAAAAAGGAAAAAAGGCAACCAAAGACTCAAAGAAGAAACTAGTTTACAAGGCAAAGTATACATGAACCACGGCCTCATCTACTCTGAGACCAGAAGAAGTACATGGTGCCTGGCAACCACTACTGATTGTTCTAATCAAGGCCATGATAGATGGACCATGACAGAATGGGAGAAAAATTTTAAAAGAATCTCAAATTCTTAAAAAAAGAAAAAAAAAAAAAAATCTACAGGATTGGCTGACTAGAAGACTCCCCAAGACTACTGCATGAGCTACTCTTCCAATCTTGAACCAAAATTAACCACTGAGGTTACCCTGTAGCTAAATAAGAAGCTTGCTCAAAAAATGAGTATCACCCATAAGTACTGTGCTCTTTTTAAAAAATCACCTATGTAAGAAGAAAGAGTCAACAATTACTTTAAAACAAACATGAAAATATAAAGGGGCAGGGACACTAGATTAATGGAAACAGAACCACCAGAGCATAAAGAGAATGTTCATGTACTGTGAAGAAGGTAACCTATGTCACGGAACAACTTGTGTAGAATCTGTTGAACAGGAACTTAAATTGCTGTATAAGGCCTCCTTGAAAACACAATTTTATACATATACACACACACACACACACACACACATATACACACACATACATACATACATGAGGCAATTTTTTAGGTTACATCCATTTTCATATCCTTCAGACCACAGTCTCTTTGTAATCTGCACTGCCTATGTCTCATTCTTAGAACACATTTTAAGACGGACATTGACAAAACTGAATTGTTATCAAAATGGCAAGAGGAACTGTAAAGTTTGGGATATAAGAAATGTTAAAGGAACAGATTTTGCTGACAAGAAATGATTTAAGCAAGAGGCATGAAGGTTTTCATCAAACATGTGTAGTTTCTTATAAACCAAAGTCTAGTTCTATGTTATTCAAGAAATCAAAACTAGGACAAATAGGAAGGCAAACAAAGTAATTTTTAGGTAAACTGATGAGAGAACTTTTCTAAAAGTTTATTTACTAGATGAGTAAATAGGTTGTTTTAGGAAGCGTTGTGTACTATGGTAGTGGTCGAGCAAAGGTTAAATGACTGCCAGGGATGCAGGATATAGAAATTTGATACATTCTGAACTTTAAATATTATAAAACTCTAATATTTTGAATATTTAATATAAGTACCAAATACAGATTATTATGTGCTACAAAATTTCACAACACAGAAAAATCACTATGAGCTTAAATAGCCAGGAAAAGTTTCTTAGAAAATAGGAACTTAAAAATGGTAAGAATTCAAATAGGCTTTTGAGGAGAGGAAGAGCATGCAAACAGACATAAGGGAAGAAGGGCCAGGGAATTTCTGGGGTACTAATAGACTCATCTGGCTAAAGAAGGATGTACATAAAGAGGATTAGTGCAAGATAATTCAGGAGAAGTACTTTGAGTCAAAATGCGAAGAGCTCTAAAAAGCAGGCTGGGGAGTTTGAACTTGAGAGGAATTCAATCAAGGTTTTTTTGACTGAGGAACAGCACTATGGCTTTGCTGTTTTAGGAAGACTAATCTGATGGTGAGGAGCTCTGGTAGCATAGTGGCTGAAGCACCTGACTGCTAACCAGAAGGCTGGCGGTTCAAACCCACCAGCCACTCCTCGGAAGGAAGGTTGGGCAATCCTACTTCCGTAGTGATACTGCCTCGGAAACCCAAGGAGAGTCGCTATGAGTCAGGGCCGACTCGACGGCACATAACAACAACAACAACAATCTGATGGTGATGTGTAGAATGGACAAGGGGAGAGAGACTGATTGAAGGCACACTATCAGGAGACAGAGTAGAATAATAGTGCCATGCAACAGTGGGAGGGGTAGAATGTAAGAGAGATTATGAAGAAAGAACATTGCTGCAGCTGAATGAGTATTCAGGACAAAGAAGAATCACAGATGGCTCTGAGTGTTAACACAGAAATGACAGAGAAAATGATATTCCAGTACAAATAAAGATCACATGGTCACAATACAGATGTTTATGGCCTTAAGGCCAATAATTAATTAGTAAAATTCAGAAAATTTCAGAAAAACTGGTAAGAAATACTTTAAATACTATCATTTTAAAAAGCTGTGTCTCAATTTTCCACCAAGAACACCTCTAAGTGATATATATACATCACACAACATATGGAAAACCACGCAAACAATTCTCTTTGTTTTAGGGATCAGGGCTGGGTCCAATGCAACATAAAGGGGTGTGTACAATGCGTGAAGTTAAAGAAAAACTATTAGATGTTCCTCTATTAAGTAGGACAGCATCTTGCTCTTCTGAGGTCATAAGGCAATCTTGTTTTATAGTAATCTCTAGAAAATAACTTACACATCCAGTTAAACAACACTCACCACTGGAGGGAAAATTTTGGCATACCTTAAGGTTGAAAAGGGTGCATTTGTAGAACAAAGGTAATTACACAGATACACTCATCTATTTTGTTCAATATTGGGACAGAATTAATGGGAGCAATCTTGTAAGCCCTAAATAAAGTGAGGTGCTTTGGGAGAACTGGAATATTAGGATTGTAGAGAAAAATGCACACAAAACTACTATAGAGAGAGCCTAGGAGAAAAATGATCTGTCTTCCAATTATAAAAGTTAAATTTGTTTACTACATAAAATTGGAAAATATTTAAAAGAAAAAAGAGGGAAAATTGCCCATAACATCATTATTTCAATTACATTTAACATGTTGATATATTTCCTTTGTGTTTTTCTACCTTATGCTGTACTGAGTTTTATAATCTGTGCTTTTCACTTACTATAGTGGTATGTCTTTCCCATGTATACTCAACACTTCATAAATTATAATTTATAATGGCTACATAATAAACTATATAGATATATCAGGAAGGATTTCTTAGAATAGAAATCAAAAGCATTACAACCTTGTATAGTAGTTCATATTTTCCAAACTATGTTCACTTCTATCTTTAGTATAACCTTATGGCACAAACAAATAAGACTTATCATTTGTCTCATTTCATACAAGAGTAAAGAGATTGAAAAAAATGTTTTAGTAACTTGGACCCAGGTAAATTAATAATGGTGAGGTATATAATGAAAGAAGATTCATATCTTCTATAAGCTGACCAGTTCATCTTTGTAAAGAATATACATTGTGCTGGAAAGTGTGTTCCCATCTCCACCAAGAGGACAAAGGAGTGTTACAGCAATAAGCATGTTGTTGTTAGCTGCATCAAGTCAGCCCCAACTCACGGTGACTGCTGTGGTCCACAGTTCTTTTTCCTGTTTTTTTTCCTTCTCCTTACTGCACAGGGTTATCATTGGCTGACTTTAAGAATTAGAGGTCAGGCCTTTCCTTTCAGTATGTCTTAGGTCTGGAAACTGATGAAACCTGTTCAGTATCACAACATGGCAAAGCCTCCACTGACAGTAAGTGGTGGCCATGCCTGAGAAACACTGGCTGAGACTCTCACACTTGGAGGGGGACACTTCTACCTGTGAACCACCACTGCCCACAGCAGTATGCGTATGTGCTAAAAAAGGTCCATCTTACTTCTACTACAGTCGACCACTTATCACAGAAGGCCTAATACTACTGTTTTAAATACCTAGTGAAAAACCAAAAACCAAGCTCATTGCCATCAAGTCGATTCTGATTCATAGCGACCCCTCCTTGAGTTTCCAAGGCAGTAAATCTTTATGGAAGTAGACTGCCCAGTCTTCCTCCCCTGCAGTGGCTGGTGGGTTTGAACCACCAACCTTCTGGTTAGCAGTCAAATGATACAGGCACGACACCTACTAAAAAAGGACACTTAATATCTAGGGAGCAATTTTTCGTTACAATACCTTCAGATTATGTATGATATCTATCCTCTTGTTCTGGCTGTCCTTAAAGTGAACTTGAACTCTGACAGGAAACTCACCCCAGCCTCTTCTGGTCAGATGAAAAGGAGGTTCTCTAGGGAAAAGCAGATATTAACACATTGATTCATGTCCACTTTTTTCACCTTGGAGAAAAATGTTCTCTCATGATAGATAAATTAGAAATTCATTTCCTCTTGAGACTCATTTAGGTTTCTTTATTTGAAGCTAAACCAATATCCTCAATGTTGCTAAAACTAATTATCATAGAAGATAATACATTATAAAAGAAAAATAAATAAGCTCAAACCTACATTAAACTTTCAATTACTGAATCCTTAGAGCTAGATTTAGACCATATAATCTAATGTCATTATTTTCACAGATGAGGGAATTTAAAGCCTTAGAAATGTTAAGTAATTTGATGGGTATCACACCACTAGAGCCAGAATCCTTGGATTGAAATTTGACGGATACAGGCTCTAAGTTACATGCTGTCTACCCCAGATTCTTCTGTTTGTTCCTCCACTCTGGAATAAAACAAAATAAATCATGAAAATGTTAATCTGAAGGTGACAATTTATTTGAAACTATCTGCTAAGAGGACTTAAAAGAAAGATCCTATATTCACAATATGATCTTCCCCAGATAGTGACTATGCTTTTAGTGGGTAGAGGGGAATGCATGAAAGCTGACTGGAATGGAGAATTTTTAGTCAAATGAAATTTGTGATGGGGGAAAGGAAAGAAATACATGAAACAAGATTGGCAAGCTATTAATAATTGTTAAAGCTGGGTGGTAGGTGCATGAGGGTTCATTATACTCTGCCTTTGTGTATGTTTAAAAATTTCCATAAAAAAATTAAAATTGTAATTGTGAGATCTTTTAGCACTCAAACAATATGGTATAAATTAATGGGGAAGAGCAAGAACATCTTTAAAATGAAAATGTGTATTATGAATCACTATTTTGGAATTACCAAAATGAGAGAGGATGCCAAGATTGCAGGAAAGAAAAAAAGCTTTCAGCTGGATGTGCTTTTGCAAAACTAGGGAGCTATGAATCCAGTAAAGGAAGGGTGTGAGAACAGATTGAGAGGAGTCTAATAAAAGATCTTAACGATCAAGCACAGAGCCGGGGTCACTAGGAAAGCCCAATATGTGAAAAATCACTTGAGTATGAGAGGACCCTGGAAAACAGAGAAAACAACACCTCAGTTATAAGGTAACAAAGAAAACTAGAGTGCCTTAGATAGAAGGCCCGTTCTTCAGCCTATTTCAACTGAATAACATCCAAGTTAGTAAGAGAAGTGGCCATGAATGTTGGTAGGGATTAAGACAGAAAAGAAAAGATACCACTTCACACCTATCAGGATGGCTATTATTAAAAAAACTGAAACTAACAAGTATTGGTGAGGATGTGGAGAAAATGGAACCCTTGTTCACTGCTGGTGGAAATACAAAATGGTATAGCCGCTATGGAAAACAATTTGGAGACTGTTCAAAAAGTTTAACACAGAATCTCTGTTTGGTCCAGCAATTACATTCCTAGGTACAAACCCTTAAAAGCAGAGACTCAAACAGACATGTGTGCACCAATGTTCCTAGCAGCATTATTCAAAATAGCCAACAACCCAGGTGTCTATCAACAGATGAAGGAATAAATAAAATGTGGTCTATCCATACAATGGAATATTATTCAGCCATAAAGAGAAATGAAATTCTGATATACACTGTGACATGGATGAATCCTGAAAACATGCTGAATGAAATAAATCACACAAAAGGACAAATACTGTATAACATTATTTATATGAAGTATCTGGATTAGACAAGTATGTACAGACAGAAAGTAAATTAGTGGTTACTAGCTACTGGAGGAAGGAAAGGACAGGAGTTACTGCTAAAAAAGTACTGAGTTTTTACTTTGGGTGATGTAAAATTTTTGGAAATGGATGGCAGTGATGGCAGCACAACAAGGTAAAAGTTAATGTCCCTGAATTGTACACTTAAAAATGAATAAAATAACAAAGTTTTTCTTATATATATCTTACACTAGTAAAATTTAAACAACTTAGAGACCTATGGTAGCTTGAGGAAACAGAAAATGAGGCTGCTCCCTAATTCTATGTCACATTTTGTCACTTGAGCCTAAAGCTGTATAAGCACCTAAGAGTCACAGAATTTCAAGCAAGTATCTTAAAAAAAAAAAAAGTCTTGGGGTTAAATGAGAAGACAAACTAGAGGTAACAGTTGGAAAAGAGATTCAGCCCAGATATGCAATGGTTCTCAGAGGCATGGTAGACTGAAGAAGAGTAATCAAAGAAAGCTTCACCGATGGCAAGTTTGGTCACTTAAACTTTAACTGGACAGTCTAAACTCATTTTGCAATATGCTTGAATTACACTGCTTATATGCTAAAATTCTCTCACAATGGATATAGTAATTCCTCCATAACCATGTCTCTGAAAGCAAAGGAATCTAAGAGCTACCAACAGATAAGACATAACTGATAGAAATTTTATGCTTCAAAAGATACATATATATATATATTTCATACAAAAAGGATGCCTTCCATGAACAGAATTCTGTACCTAGATTCATCACATAAGATGAAATATATCAATGACCAAGAAGGAAAAAACCACAAAAATATAGGGATTAAAAAAAAAAAAAAGGCTTTACTAGAAATACAGTAAACAACTCCTTGTCCAGCTGATTCATTTAAAAGGCCAGTCTTTCAAGACCATTCTTAATGACCCAGAACTCAGAACTCACTACTTAATGAGACTCTCCACTACATTTCTGATAGCACTATAAAAATATTTCCTCTCCCTCTTACATGTTAGTTACAGCCTGACTAACAATAAATTTCTTCTCCATGTGACAGATCTTCAAAAGAACTGAAACATTCTAAGTCTTTTATTTTCAGGATGAATACTTACTGTTTCTTTAACTGTTACCGAAAATACAACAGCAACAGCAGTTGCAGCACTGTTTACTATGACCCAACCACTGTTTGAAACCCTTTCTATCTATTAACTGATCTATCTTTTCAACCACACTATGAAATATCCCCTCTGAGACATAGTAAGGTTAAATAACTAATTTGCCCAACATCACAGAGCAAGTAAGTAGTAAAACCAGGATTCAAACCCAGGCAACAAACTGCAAAGCCAATGTTGTAGCCACTATGCTATTCCATGTTTCTGGTGTCAGGTCTACTTAGCACCCAAGCCACTCCTCTCTGCCTCTGCCCCCAATATCCCCTCAGATACACAACACTATGCCTAGGTATTGTCAGACTGGTAAAGCGTGTCTACTTTACTTCTAATAAAGCGGCTTCTAAGATTGCAGTACTATGCTAAGTGATTTGTTTTCACTTTTTGATTTGTTCCAGTAAGATCATCAATTGACTCAAGTTTATAGTTAACCAAATACTTTTTTTCACGTGAACTACTCATAGTCACCATGTACTCATGTAGTTGGATTTCTGAACCCAATCAGTAATTGGCCTAACATGAGTCCCTACAAAGTAAATCTTGTCTTTTTAGATCTTGAGTTACTCCAGACATATTTTTGCTATCATCTTGTTATCTGCAAGTCTGATTAGCATTTTTTAATAAACCATTAATAAAAATGAGCAAAACATAGCCAAGTACAGAGATCTTCCCTCAGCCAAATAAATATCACTTCCTTAATCAGCCCAGTCCGTATCTCTCAATGAACTTTTCAAATAAAACACACTAGAAATCTTTCTGTAAGTTACGTATCCCCAGCATTCCTCTAGTCCATCATCCTACTGATTCTGTATAAAAAGTCTGTCATGGCCACTTCTTTAGAAATATATATGCTCTCAGTTGGCCATCCTTTCCCTCTGAAATACTTAACAATTTGATAATCCATTCTAGTGGGATCAACATCAGGTCACCAGTACATGATCTGGAAAATTCATTTCCTTGCCCCTTCTGAAAACTAGGGTACCACTTGACCATCTATGACCTTTTGTCACCAATCTTTTTCTCTAAAATTCAAAATCACCTTGGGGTCTCAAAAACTCTTGGGACTTAGCTACTCTGGTCACACAACTCATTTAGAACATTCATTCAATAAACATTTATTGAGTACTTACAGGGTCCAAGAACAAGAAAGACGCAGACTCTATACACATGGAATACATCAGTAAGGAGGCTTTTATAGTAATCATTGGGAGAAAGATGATTCTGTCAGGGATTCAGTCAGGGAAGAGAAATAAGGGCTGTTTGATATTGTTGGGGGGGAAGGAAATGGCAAAGTTCAGTCGTGAATATGCTGAATTTGAGGTACCTGAGACACGCAAAAAGAGATGTTCACAAGGGAGCTGAATATATGACTACAAAGGTTAGGGGAGGGGTCTGGCTAGAGGAAGAGTATGTTTTACTATCTCTCTGCCTATACAAGGCTGAAATTCCTCTGAACTCTTTCTAGTTTTGTAGAATAGTCCCTTGACAATGAGACAGAAGCAAAACAGTTATACATACTAGCGAACATCTCTGGTGCCAGCATTACCCCCTATACATACACACACACCCACACCCACACCCACACTAATGTTATCATCTATTGATCCCTACAGGTCATTCCCACCCATTTTTTGATGATTTCAGAGTCTAGCTCAATGTCATCCTAACTCTACCATGTAATTCTTAGCAACTTCATATACACACAAATGATCTTGTCAATTATTTGAATCCCTCTGTTCCACAATCCTTTGCTCTGCTTTATATTAGTCACTTATTCCCATGATCATATCCTAGACCTTACCATCACTAATAACTATAATCCCTCCATTATCTAAATTTCATGTTACCCAATTTTACCATCAGCTCCTAACTTCCCAGTTTATTCCCTTAAATACTCCAACTCCAATAATCTTTCAACCGCTACCAGTACCTTCAACCCACCCTCACCTTATCAAGCCCAAATGTCTGATCAACATAATCACTCTTTTGCATATACCTCCAACCTTCTGGCCTACTTTCACTTCAGTATACTCATTTAGCAAAACCACAAAAATAGTAAAACTAATTTTCTGACTAATCTTCACTTGTATTCATGA